AGCTATAGACTCAGTAAAGTTTGCTAACTGAGATTGGAAGTCTGAGAGCTTGGCAATTGGGCAATGTTCCCCTATTTAGATAAGTGCGCTCCTATGGATCTACTCCAAAGACCAAGCCAAACTCATACACATATCATACATAAAACTTACTCTACAAGCCTTTAAGCTATATAGCTATATATAATCCTCAGTCAAATCAAGCTTATGCTGCCCTTCCTTAAACCCTTTTTTCAACCTTTGCCGCTTCTCCCTTGTAATTCCCAACTAGTGCACAAAAATTGTCATTCTTTTAGTCTGCTGCAGCCAGTTGCCACCCGCAGCTCTCACGGCGACAGCGGAAACTATTTGTAATCTTGGAGCAATTTGGACACCTGTTTCAATATTGCAGCCAAGGCAGAAATCTTGACATTTCGTGCGCTGATCCTTGGCTGCAGCCTGCCAAGGGGAAAGTTTTTGCATTGTATAGCGAGCGAGTGTGTGTGTGTGTGCAACATCCGGTTGCAGGCGCAGGTAAGACGGCTGCCCTTTTGACACTGACAAGGATGTGGAATGCTTGCTTCGGCTTCGAATCTGGCGGCTGCTGCTGCTGTGATAACCTTGCCGCGGTGGTGCTTTATCAAATTCTGGTCACCTTGGACGGCATTTACAAAATGTGTATTCACTAATACACACACGCACACACACACACACACACACGCTAAAGGGCATATACGGTACCGCTTTGGATTAAAAATTTCTTTTTTTATGCTGAATGCATTTCTCTGGCGACTGCTTAAGGCGAGAGAGAAAGAGACAGAGAGGGAGAGAGCTAGGTAAAGGGAGCTGGCAAGCACAGAGGCAGGGGCAGGGGCAGAGGCAGGGGCACGGCAACGGGGCACAAGGGACAGGAGGCATTTATTTTCGGCATTTGAAGTTGGTCCTTTGAAAAACGGGGGTTCAAATTCAAAGCGCTAGACCGAACCAGCGAACGTGCGAAGGGTTGTTCGCTGTGCGTGCGCGTGTGTGTGTGTGTGTGTGTGTGTGTGTAAGGATTTGGATGCCAGACTGCGTCTCAGTTGCGTCGCCCTGTGTGACATTATGCGCTGGCAGCAGCAGCAACGCAAAGTGTAAGCAGCGAATCGATTTTGAAATTCGTCTCATGCGAATGTGTGGAAAATGCTGATAAATGAAAGGCGCACACACACACACACACAGAGAGAAATTGGTGACCAGCAGCAAGGACTAGAGGAGCTAGTTAATGAGCAACTGCAACTCGAGCTGCAACCAACATCACACTCTCTCTCTTTCTCTCTCGACTCTTCATCTATTTGCTGCGTTGCTTTGTTTGCCCACTTTGACGCTTCTGATAAGATAAGCAAAAGCCGCTTTTAGCCACACACACTAACTGGGCCCATGGCCAGCTCGTGACGCTGGCGACTTCTTTGAGCGAGTTTTCAGTTGAAAATTCAAAATTCATAGAATGCAAATGTTGGTTAAACAACATTTTCGCCAGCGCCAAGACCACACAGAGACTCCAGAGCACAGCTCGCACAGTTGGGCCACAGCAACAGCAACAACAACCCGAGGCAACTCTCTGAGAGCAGCGCACACGTACGTGTTTGCTTAGCAAGGGGCAGTGGAAGAGCCAGCGGCAGAGGCAGAGTCGCAGAGTCGCAGCGTCGAGTTGTTGTTGCCGCCTGTGACTTGAATTTGTAACTGAAACTAGATCTAAACAAAAAATTGTAAACAGCCCCCCCCTAGACTTAGACTTCGACTCCGACTCCGACTTTGTCTAAAAATGTGCCTAGCTTAACAATCCATATGCATATCCCATAGACTTGCTGTGTTTCTGTTGCAATGGAGTCGCCAGTGCTATAGCCAGATCTGCATACAAGAGAAAATATATATAATAATAATAATAATGCGCATCTAGATCGATCCTAGATTGCCTTTATCAGATGCGTAGTTATATATATATATAATATATTATATATAGCATATATTAAATATATGCTAAATCGGTGGTCTGAATGTGCATCAATATCTTTATAGCTTTTGCTCTGTATATACTTCATAGATTCTGCTCTCTGTTCTCAACTTTGCACAATATCGTAAGAAATGCATAGTCGAAGCACCAATTGCATTGAGAATCGCATAGAAGGGCGTCAAGTCGCAAATTCACTTAGCCAAACTCTTCGCTTCAAGCATGCATACAGATAAATATATCACACATTTACATTTATAAACAAATTTAAGCTTAGTTTGTTCATCAAAAAACCCCTGACGTATACGTAATATATATAAACACATCAATTTATCAGCTATTCCAATCGATTACAATGCTCTGCGCACTTCTTCGTAGCAGAGCGTAGCTCTAAAGCTCCAAAGCTTGACTTTGGCTAAGCTTCTGTGTGCGAAGGCAGCGGGAAGCTGATTAAAGCTTAAAGTAAATGCCAAAATGTGGCCAGGCCCAGCCTGCAATTGATTGCACAGCATTAACGGTACATTTCCAATTGGATGACTGCTATATGCACACACAAACACATACATGTAGAATATGTACACATATACATATGCACATAATCAAGTGAAGTATATACACACACGCACACACACACTCACGCATAGAGAGCGAGAGAGATGCGTGGGCATGCATACGCATATTTAATGCAAATTTAAGCAGTTAGCAAGCAAGTAAAGCCGTTATGTACACATATATACAGCTGCGCGCGTGTGTGTGTGTGTGCTGCTGCGGCGTATACATAATGCAGGGCAATATAAATAATTGCAATACATATAAATTGCAGCTATGTGTGTGTGCGAATGTGTGCGTTGCATAACCACATTTGCCGTTTACATATGCTATATAAGCATAGCCTTATATATTAATACATATATATATATACATATATTTATGCACACATTTAAATGTGCATCGATGGCTGCTGCATTTGCAATTGCAATTGCATTAGTGTGGCATCCTTTTGTTCATTACACGCACAATGCGTGCATAAAATAAATCTACAGCAAAATACTCGACTGCGCTCGCATTTGTTAAATGAGACAAGCAGCAGCATGACTAGCTCAGCAAAAGGAGTAGGACGAGCAGAGCAAGAAGAGAGCGAGAGAGTAGCGGGTGAACGGGAGAGTTGGAGAGTTGAAGAGTTGGAGACCGTGGTTGGCTGGGAGATAGCAAAGCCAAAAATTTGACAGCAAGTGCAGATCTATGCAGCTAATTGTTGTTGCATACTGTAAAAGCTCAACTTAACCCACACATACATACATGCATACATATTTACATATTTATATATATACATGTATGTATGTGTGTATTTACTTACACAGGCATATGTACAAGGCTAGTCTGAGCATATTTCGATTTTTGAGAGAAAGAAATTAAAAGACAAATTAAGAAAAAATATTAATTTTTAAAATAAAATTTAGTTGTTCATGAAAATAGTAGTGGCCACAAAACGGAAGAAAATCTATTTAACTTAACATTTAATATATATATTTATATATATATATATAAATATATATATATATATATATATATATATATATATATATATATATATACATATACAAAAAATCAATTAAATATATATATATATATATATATATATAAAAACATATAATGCATTTTTAAATATATTTTGTAATATACATATATATAGTTTTCATTCATTATTTTATATTTTAAATAATATTTTTTTTGATTCCATTTTTAATTGATATATATTTTAAATGTATTTAATTAAATTGATATTTATGTAATTAATTTATACTACTATAATTTTTAAGTGATTTATTTCATATATATATATTTAAATATATATAATAATTTATTATATTTTATTTATATATTATTAAATTGATTTTATTACTTTTTATACATATACTTTTAAGTAAGTATTTTTTTAAAATAATATATACATATACATTTATGCATTTATTTATTTAATTTATATGAAATTATTTTAAAAATCCAGATATATAGTCTCTATATATCACCCAACATCAGTTTCCCAGTTCAATAACTTAAACAAATTTTGTTATTTATTTTAAATTTTTACATATTGAATTTTATTTCAGTTTCTTTAAGTGTATACGTGTTTGTATGTGTGTGTGTATGTATTCGCCTGAAACTACAACAGAATCAAAAATAATGTTGAATCAAAGAAAAGTTTAGAAAAAACTTAATGCTAAATAATTGTCAGGGAAAGACTTCAACATAGTTCTATTAGAATTATAATAATAATAATAATAATAATAATAATGATAATGATAATGATAATGATAATGATGTTTCCTGTTCCGTCAAATAAGGCATTTACATATATATAAATATTGCAGAAATCGAAACATATATTCAACAAAACTGACAGATCGGAGCTTTAGCTAAGACTTAAAACATATAGCTACTATATAACATAGTTATTTTCTCTCTTTTCCTTTTTTCTTCAACTTGTCTTTGCCTTACTTCAAAAAAATAAAATTACGTAATTCTTGTATTTTAGCATTTTGTTTTGTTTTTGTTTTTTTTTTTGTTTCGCTTCGTTTTTTTATACATATATATTTTATATATCACAATAGAAAAAAGAATTAATTCACATATTCTTTTCAATCGTTATGTTTTTTTTGTTTTTCCTCTTTTTTTTTTGCTTACTTATAAATTAAACAATAAAAAATTTACAGAATTTTCTTTAACGTTTCTTTTGTTGTTATTTTTTCATTTCTTTTGTTTTTTTTTTGCTAGTTGCTTTGTTGAGTTATTTGACTAATTGTTGTTGTTGTTGTTTGACCAAGTTACGAACTAAAACTAAATGTAAATTTATTAAATTTTCTTTAAGTGTCTACTATTAACATGTTTTAAATTTAATCGCCAACTAAATTAAACGGCATTACTAACGACGCTGCACTAAACAAATTCGAAACAAAACGCAAAACGCAAAAAGCAAAACAAACACACAAAAATATATAAACTAAAGTTTAACACAAAGAATCTCAAATGAAATAAAAATACAAAAAAAAACATTTCTAACAAAAGGCAGAGACAGAGAGCGCCAACAAAGAGCAAACTTTTTTGTGTAGTCGTCGTTGTCGTCGTTGGTGTTGTTGTTGCTGCTGTTGCGGGCAAGCTTAAAGCGCTGCGCGCGTCGCTGCTGGCGTCGCAGCTGACGCCATTGCTGCGTCTGTAGTTGTTGTAGCGTTGGAGGACGCTGGCTTTTGTTATATCTGCTTCTACAGTTTTTTTCGCCGTTGTTTCTGTTGTTGCCGAAGCGTGAATTAAAATAAACTATTTAAATTTATTTGCATCTGTTTAACTGCGGCCTGCATTATACACTCTTACACACGCACGCACATTTATGCATATGCATTCGTATATATGCTATGAGTGTGTATGAGTGTTTGTCCGCTCTCTCTCTCTTCCACTCTTGCGCTATGCTTATCGCGCGTCTCCATCGCCATGCACTTTGTTGCTGCCGTCGGCCATAGCTGCAGCCGTGTTATTTTTTTCTCTTGTTTCTTTTTATCGCCGCCGCTGCGCTGCGTGCGTGTAAGCTGACGCGTCGCGCCCCCGTCCCAACCCTGCTAACCTCTACCAGGCCCACAAGTGCGCCGCTGCCAGCCCCTTAGGAACCTGCGGCGGCGGCAGCAACAGCAGCAGCATAGCAAGCTTCAGCTCCATGACAGCGTAGCCGTCGCCGTCGCTGTCGCCGTGCTTGTGTATGCACGTATATATGTATGTATGTGCGTTTATGTATATGTGTTTGTTCATTGTTTGCTTTTTGTTGTTGGCGTTTGTTGTTTTCTGCCTCTCGCTCGTTCGCTCGACTTGCCTGCGCTCTGTCTCTGCTGTTGCTTTTGCTGTTTCGTTTTCTACTCGATTCGTACGAAAAAATTTAGTACAGCGTGTGGTATGGCAAACGAAAGCTATGAGTTTTCAGTGTATCTTGTTTTTTATACTTTACTTAGTTGTCTGCTCAGCTCTGTGTGTGTTTGTGTGTGTGTTTGTTGGTATGTGTGTGTGCTGGTGTGTGTAATTACGTGCCTTGCCTTCAACGTCAGACATGCAACACGGCACGCAGGTAGAAGGAGACGAGTAGGAAGACAAAGTCAAAAAGAAGCCTCAGCTAAAGTCACACGCACAGACACACACACACACATTCATACAGAGAGAGAGAGAGAGACATAGACATAGATGTCTGCATCCTAAGCGTTCGCCTGCGCCGACTTCTCTGCCTCGGCCGCTGCGCAGGCATTGCAATCATGATGAACGCATCATCTGACCAACCAAAGGCCCAGATTGAGCTTCTGCAGCTTGGGCAGCTTCATGATGATGTCGATGCCCTTCGAGCTCAACTGCGTGCAGCCATAGAGATCGATCGTCTTCAGATTGGACAAATCCTCCGCCAGTGTCTGCAGTCCTTTATCCGTTATCCGACTGCACTGTCCAATATTGAGATTCTCCAGTTCGTGCAACGACTTCGCTATCTTCACCATGCCCTGATCCGTAATCTGGCATTGATTGAGACTTAGGGAACGCAGCCTATACAGACCCTGTGCAATGTGGGTTAGCGCCTGGTCGCTGATCTTATCGCAGAAGCTCACGTCCAACGAATTGATGCCGCTGCCACCCTCCGTTAGGTAGGCCATGCCAATATCGGAGATGTTGTCGCAGGATCGCAGATTCAGTTGTTCCAGCTTTGGCATGCGGGCCAGATGCTTCAATCCGCTGTCTGTCACCGAAACGCAGAAGCTCAGATTGATGGACTTTAGTGAGGTTAAACCCTGTGCTATGTGACCCAGTGCCTCATCACTGAGACGCTGGCAATCCTGCAGACCCAGATACTCCAGCTGTAGATTCCCTTCGGCTGTCTCACGGCTGAACCCAGCCAAGTGGCCAATGCCCTGGTCGCTGATGTGCCAGCAGGATCTCAGATTCAAGTGTCGCAGCTTCTTCAGACCCCACGCGATCAGCAGCAGACCTGTGTTCGTTATGTTGCAACAGCCGCCCAGTTCAAGCGTTTCCAGATTCTTCAGATGCTGCGCAATCCGGCCCAGGCTGGTGTCCGTGATCTGTTTGCAGAGGGACAGGTCGAGCGTTTTTAGATTCGGTAAGTCGACGCTGAACGCATGACCCAGATTCATGTCGGCCACATTGAAGCAGCCGCTGAGATTCAGTGACGTCAGCGCTGGCACGCCCACCACCAGATCCTTGAGCGAGCGTCGCAGCGATAGGATTTGCACCTTCTTAATGCCGCGCCGGACGAGGCAATTGAATAGACTTGGACTGGAGCGCTTCAAGTGGAGCTTGGCTTCGACGCCCTTCCACACGCTCTTCGCATATGCCGCATCCCGCCAGGCGGTGCACACCTGTGCGGCCCGCCCCAAGTCTCGCACCGGCAGATGCTCAAAGATCTGTTCGAGCAGCTCCGGAAATAAGTTGCTAATGTGTGTGCCCTCCACGGGCGGCGGACTCTCCGGCGAGGCGGCTCTGTGCTGATGGTGATGATGGTGATGGTGATGATGATGTTGTGCATGAGCTGCAGCAGCCGCTGCTGCTGCCGCTGCCGCTGCGGCAGCCGCATGCTGCAAGTAGAGCGCAGGTGGCAACGTTTGCAGCTGTGGCCGATGATGCAGCGCATAGGGCGTAAAGCGCAGCAGGTGGTGGGCGTTGCGTGTCAAGCCGGGCAGCTCAGTCTGTTGAAACAGTTCGTCCCTATTCCAGGCAGCAGCCGCTGCGGCTGCCGAGCCACCAGCTGTAGCTCCACCTCCTCCTCCACCACCACCGCCGCCGCCTCCGCCGACGCCACCTCCGTGATAGTTAGTTAGAGCAGCGGCAGTCTGTAGAGAGATTGTTGTCTGATGATGGAAGGGCAGCAGCTCCGTATTGGTAGCCATTGCTGTGTGTCAGCTAGTTACTAGACTTGCTGTTGTTTAGATACTTCTATAACTTTACTCTAGATATTTGATGTGCGTCGCATTTGCGACAGTTTCTATATATGGGGCTGCACTGTAGTTGTAGTAGTAGTAGTAGTAGTGGGTGGACTAGATGAGCACTGCACAAATACGATTACGAATTCCGTTTGCACTTTAAGTCCAGTTAAATTTGCTTTTTATCTGTATTATATTCACTCTGAACGAACGAGCGTTAAACGAGCTTCAATTGAACACCAAAAACCGGAACACGACAATTGAGTTGCGCAGCGACGTCCGAACGGTTCGATGGCGAGTAACAGAATGAGCCACAGTGCGACAAAGCGACACAATAAATGAGAGGCAACGGCGGCAGCGGCAGTATACGCACACGTACACACCAACACACGCTCGCACATAATGCCTGCAGCCATAGCAGGCAGCGCTCTGAATTCAGCAATAAGGCAAAGCAGGTAGTGACGCTCTCTTCTGCGCGCGCTCTCACACTCTTTTACTCTCTACGTAAGTGCTGTGCGTTAGCTGTTTTCGAGCTAGATTTAGTCTGATGTGATTTCTTAGTTTTTATATATTTGTTTCAAATACATTTATATTTAATAGTAATAGTAGTTGTATTCGTTTTTGTGAGCACTGTTACGTTCTTTATTTTCTCTTTTTAATTTATTAAATAAACTACTTTGCTGCATGACAAACCCGAGTCAAACTTTTAGCTTGATCTGTAAACACTCTCAGCAAAGACAGCTCATACTCCCACTATATACGAATATTTTTATATACAAATTTATGTTTTCAATTAAATTTAAATACTACATAAATTTGTTTTCTTCTCTCTTGTTTTCTATACAGCTCTATCTTGAGAAAAGCATAGAATACTTTGATATATTTGTGATTTATGCTAAATATCAGTAAAATCTTTAATCGAAAAGAATGTTTAGGCGGATTATCTAGATCTTTAAGAGAAAAATAATATTAGAGAGATGTTTCTGTTGCAATCTATTTATATATGTGTTTATAATGAAAAATAAATCTTGATATTATCAGAGTATTATAATAATATATATCTGATAAATGTTTAATATGCGAGAGAGATTTCGGACGACATTTAATGCGTATAATTCTTAGATTTCTGATGATATTTTATGCTCTTGAGACTGTCCTGAAGTTTTTTTATATACGTATATTCTTGAAAGATATGTGAGAGAGACTTCTCTGTAGATCTGTGATATATGTATCATTTTCAAGATAAATTCTTAAATATTTTACTCTTTTAATAACTTTTATAACAATTGTATTGCAAGTATTGCTTTCGCCATTTTACAGTTTTAGACATGGCTAAGATTACATTATAGATTCTAGAATAGCTTTATGCCAAAAACTCCGACGCATTTACTGCTGCTGCGGCAGAGATGCATTCCATGTGAGCAGGTACCTGTCTTGCCCTGCCTCAGTCTCTGCCTCTTTATCAGCACATGTGTGTGTGTGTGTGTATCTGTGATCGTTTCATGTTGGTGCTTGTCGCTACCTGCGTCTGCGACGCACAACAATCCCGGTTTCCAAGAAAATATTAACGATATCTCCCAAAACGTTGCCGCACACAGACGCAAACGTCTGAGGCAAATCCAAGCCGAAGGCAGCTCGCGTTGCAGGCAGCAGAGAGCCAAAAGAAACCCGCTGGGATGCACAAAAGCCGAGCCACAATAGCGGGCCACGCATTGTTATTGATACTAGGAAAGCAATGCACACACATACACTCGCAGACGCACACCCAGAGACACACACTAACTGCAGTCCCTTAAAAAAGGAAAGCCAAACGCCGCCGTTTTAAAAAAGGGATCTAGCATTGGGAATTGGGAAAATCTGCGCCGCTACCTGCACGGGAAAAACACGCACACACACGCGCATGCACAGAGAACATAACAGACACCCGCATAGGAGCGCACCCTCGAGATCAGTTTGAAGTGAGAGAGTGAGCAAACGGTAAAAAGAAAATATGCCTGCGCTGATTTCTCATGCCAATTGTCTAGAGAGGCTAGAAGGGACGCGTACAGTCACTCGCAGCTATTATCCTGCACAAGAGTGAAGGAGAGAGGGAGCGATAGGCAGAGAGAGCGGGCAGAGTGTAAGAACAAGGCGTGCTTTCTTTGAGTTATGCCAGCTCTCTCTCTCCCTCTGTCTTTCTCTCTCTCTTGCTGCATGGCTGTCTACCTGCCAAACCGGTTGGCGAAAAAAGGGCCAGGGCCAATCTATGGAAGTGCCAGCGGCTGGGGACGTGTCGAGGCGAAAAATAATCTGTTCGTTGGAACTCGCTCTCCGTAAGAAATATATATGAAGATAATAATCGATTGGTTTTTGGCTGCCTCTTTGTGCGTTTCGCACACTGTGATCATCATTAGCCGCAGCACAGGTAGGCAGCAACAGCATCATCATCATCTGCGGAAAAGGTGCAACACGCAATAGACTTTGCTGGGGCGAGCTGTGCCCAGAGAGGGGAGCCCACGCAACAAGTGCAAATCAGGCGACCGCGACCCCATTGCCAACTCTCTTCTTCAGGGCGAGCCCAATAACTGGTAACCACAAGTTCTGCACACACATACATAAATATGAGCACATGTATAGGTACTTGTCACACACACATACACGTATAGCTAGCTACATTATTATATATGACAGGGCATATGCGTGCTTACGCACAAGCAAATTGCTTTATTGGCACTAAAGACAGTATTTTTGACATATGGGCGTTACTTTTTTGATATACACAAAATTTTCAGATCATTACTTTAATAAATATTTGAAGAATTACTTCAAAAATGTAAGTTTGCTGTGTAAAACTTTATGTAGACTGTATAGAAAAAATTACACAAATATACTCTAAAGATCTTGACTTACCCTAAATACGAATTATACAATTAGAATATATTCAAGAGACCAATTTACAGTTACACAACATTAGATATAATTGATTAATTGAATATAGCTGATCTGGTTACAGATACAGGCATGTAAACAAATGAGACCAGCAAACAAACAAAGGATGTTGCCATTTCATCTAATTGATATAATCGAAATCTGGTTTCAATTTGTATTTGGTTAACCCGCATCGAATGCAGTACACAGCCTCACCAAGGGTTAACCGACTCTGTTAACAAATTGTGAAAAGAGAGTACAAATGGGGAGACAGAGGGAAATGGGATAGAGGGCGCAGCACAGAATAAGTGTAACGGATCGCATCAAGATTTGATGTGATGGCAGCTAGTATACGTAAATACAGGGAACAAAAAAGAAAATAGGAATTGCGCTGCTTACGACATGATCAACTATCAATCAAACTTCTACCAGAAATAATTGCCATGCCTAAAGCACAAATTTAATGCACTCTATTATTTACGCAATAATCACTGCATAAGAGAACAGGCAAAAACAAAGGCAGCGCTTAAAAGAGGAGAGATTGAAATGTCCCTTATTTAGCTTCCTTTTCGTCGCTATGCACGTATTCATAATAGTGTAAATATAACGGAACTAAGCGCTGCGCTGTCTATCGTTTAATTTGGTTTTTGATTTTACAATGTTTACATGCACATAAACATCTGTATTAGCACATGTTCATAAACACGCCCACCTCTTATTTAAACATAACTTACCATTTAATTCGTTATTTATCGTTTTTATTTATTTTGCACTTAAGCCCTCTTTACTACACTTCTTCCTGAACTTTCTGCCAACGAACTGATTTCGCTTTAGCTATGCGGCGAATTTCATATTGTTGCGTATTTAACCCAGTCGGAATGTCAAATTCAATATTTAACTGGCAAATCAGTACAAACTCAGTTTTTTTAGCATATCAATAACAACTACTGGAGTCTTGCTGTTAGATATGCTTGGAACTAACTGTACAAGTGGAACTATGCAAAAGCGAATAGAAAAGATGGAATACTTCGTGAGTGCAACAACTTAAGGGGTATATTAGCTGTAAGAAGTAATTATGTGGAAAACAATTTGAATAGGAAAAAACTGTAAGTTGAAACCACATTCTCAGCATTTGGTTCAAGTGCCAAGATCCGCAGCTCAATATCATTTCCGATGAAAAAAGGCGGCGCTCTAAGGATTAAGAATGTTAAAGAACGATGCTTATTATGAGAAAAACTCCCGCTGCGAAATGTAATCATTTCTTCAAATCTAAAAATTGTAGTAGTATGGTCATTTTCATAAGGATGTGTAAGAGGTTCCGAATAAATTATGGTATAGTGAAAGGAAATAGGAATACGACTTATAGCGGATACAGACTTCGAATAAGAATTCATTGTAGATACAGTGCTCAAGGTCCTTATATTGATTTTAAATAATTAAGTCTTAATTATTTCCACATATATGTAAAATGTTCCTTTATTGTTTATGTAATTTTAAATGCTATATATGTATATATATTTATATTATGTATGGTAAGTAGATTTATGTCAGTTTTTGTCACTTTTTTTTTGAAAAATTTCGTTTACATATGGCATACTATGCACTAAAAATTAATGTTGATTTTAGTTTTCGATTTCGTTTTTTCTCTTTTTTATCTTAAAATTCGTTTACGCTATGACTTTAAAATACTCGTATGTACGTAGTTAATAACTAGTTGCTAATTATGTTTAAAAACTCAAATACCCAACGAGAGTTCATTATGCTACGGAAGGGTATATCAACTCAAGCTAGTTGGCTCTCAATAATATAATATATGAGTTATATGTGGGCATATGGCATGGGGACGTATAAATATGTTGTTTAGTGTAATGTAGTGTAGTGTAGTGTATAATGAGGCTATATGTATTTACATGCATGAGCACCGAACTAGGGATATATGTTTGTATGTATGTATGTAGGGTGCACGCAAGGAAGTTTTATGTGTCTCTCTATATGCTAAAGCATTCTTTTGATTTTTTCTTTTTCTTTCTTTTCGTTTAAGTTTGATACATGCGCGATCTATGTGCTATATGCTATTCCTATTAATTTTAATATTATGATTATTTATTTGTTTTTATTTATTTTTAAATAATTCATTTCGTTGAATTTAGTCCAAATTGTTATATTAATCAATTCAGCCCGTTTTTTGGAGTTACTTAAAAAACCCAAACACGATTCGATTTTTTTTGAGAAGTGTGCGACCTCCTCTGCGTTTCACTGGGGCTTATATATTTTAATTTTTTTCTGGGATGATGATATATTTTGCATTTCTAATGTCGTACGTGCCTAAGTTCTAAATTATGCTATATTTTTCTGTTTTTTATTTTCTTTTTGTTTTTGTGGGCGT